AATAGACTCTATGTATTTTTTTTAATAATATTTGTTTAATGTTGTACCGATTATCTGAGTTTTCCTACGTTTGCTGGGAAAATTAAAAATTACCTTTTTTAAAGTACCTCTCTAGTGAAATTTCTTTTTAAAAACATTGCTATCATAAAAAGTAGCAAAATTGCTGGTAGAAACTTTATCCACAGAAAAAAAAACATCTTTGTAAAACCATAAACTTCTTCCCTTCATTCAGAATCTAAAAAAATAAATTTATTCATCTGATATTTAATTTGAATTCATGGGTTAATAATTTTCAGTTTTTTTTATTAATTTTAATGAATGAAAACCCATGTAACCATTGTAAATAATTTAATAATAAATTGTATAACCCGTGTAAAAGTATTGTTATTTTGATATTTGTTACATTTTTACAGTTTGCTTGCCCATCAACTTATTCGTTCTGCAAGGAAGCCAAGAACATCAAAAATACAAAATAGACATTCAATTACAGTTGAAGGAATTGAACTGGAATTACCACGGATAAAACATCATGCCATGATTACCAGATTAGACGAAATGGAAAACACTCCAAAATTGGACTTGCGTACTCGCTCAGTTGTCAAATCTGAATACAAATATGAACATATTAAATCAGGTTCGCGAGATTATCTTATATTAGATAAAAGTTCAAAAAAATTCATGAGTATTGCTGAAAAAGTCAGACATTTCTTCAACAACACACCACCTAGATTTCATTCTAAACCCACTATCCCTTCTGGTGAGTCACTTTTATCTGGTGCTCATTTATGTCAACACTTGCTTTCTATTTACGCATATAGTTTTATTTTATATAATTGAAATACTTCTTGCATTTATTTTTTAATGAATAGTTGCTTAATAAATGTGTCAATATTTATTTGCCAAATCAATTATTTTTAAATCTCATTTACTGTGCCACTAAATAATTATTATGCATAAGTAATAAAAATTAAATTAACTTTTTCATTTAGGTTCAAAGGTATTCAAATCTAGAAGCTTGTTTCCAAATGATTTTGAACAAAGTTCCAGTAATACTAACAAGATTATTGATAATAAACAAACTAAAAGGTGTGTTTGATTTATTAACATTAAATATTTTATTTGGTACATTATATCAATTATTTTATAATCATTTGTAATTCAGGAGTGGAAATGATAGCAATCAGATTCAAAATGATCACAATACAAACTGTAATAATATTCATTCAAGTGGTTTCAAAGTGGTATTTATACTTAATGTATTTTCAATGTTGTGGTATAAAATTGTGTTATATGTTGATTTACAGCCTGCTGCTAAACTTCAAACGATTAAAGTTCTCAATTCTCATGATGGTGTCCAAGTAGTTGAAAGCAAAGAACTTGGCCATGGCGGAATAAAAGTTCTTGAAAAACAACCACATACTGTTCCAAAACCATTTAGTTTTGAATCACGTAAATCTTGTGCTGTTAAACCTCAAGTAAATATTATAAAAACATGTATTATATTATAATTTATTAACATTTATTTTTACCATATATTCTAAGTATTTTATTCACTAAATTCATAATGTTTTTCAACTAATTATTTTGTTATTTATAGAATGTGAAAAATGAACAACAATGGATGTTTAAAGCTCGTCCAGCTACAGTACTAAAAAAAAAACCTTTTGTTCCTAAGCATGAAAAAAAATGTACTGCGCCACAAAATATTCGTTTAAACACCGAAAGACGTGCCCAAGAATGGATGGTCTTTGAACAAGAAATAAAAGAGAAGTTTTCGCACTACGAAGAAATCTCAAGAATGGTAAATCTTATACTTATTGTTAATACTCTTACTATACCATAATTGTTTTGATGTTAGAAACAGGAAGAAAATAAGAAAAATGAAATGAATTTAATTAAAAATTTGCGACAACAAACTATCCATAAAGCAGAACCAATTAAAAAATATAAACCCGTTTTGATAAGAAAATCTATGAGGCCTGTAACGGTGCCACATAGTCCAAGATTTTCAGTCCGTCCATTGAAAAACTGTTTAAATTCAATATCCGAGTCGTAAGCATACTTTTATATTATATACTTAATTTTTGTTGTATAATTGTCCATGTTATTAGGTATTCTTTATTTATCTAAGTGCACTTTTGGTGTATCTATTTGCAATAATATTCTTAAGTATACTCTGTTCAGTTGGTGAACGTGCCTCAGTTAGATGAAAATTAGTTTGTTCTGTGCATCCTCATGTCACCCACACATAGGCGAACACCATCATAGTGTGTCATCATTGTCATCGTGATGACCAGGTATCTTAGAGATGTGCAGAACTGGCGTGTTCTCTCGCTGAATATACTATAGTTATATGTTGACTGGTTTAATAATTTTATTAATAACTCCTAACTTCTCGAATCCAGAAGAAAAAAATATCTAATTAAGAATATAGCTTTTTTAAAAAAGCTTAAAATTTTTTTCATACTTTTTGCAATTAAGTGTTTCAATTTTTTTTCTCCCTTGGTAATTTACACTCCCCAATTTGAAAACTGCAAGTCCTATACATTTTGAATTATTAAAAGTCTATTCCACCTACTATAGTTGAATTAAAAAACACATTAATATCTTCTTATTTTGTTTATAGGATAAATAATTGAAGCATTTTCATATTCTGTAAGACGTCTGTCTAATATATTTTTTTTTATTGTACCTGTTAGTTTTTTTTTTCAATTTTATAAATGTGTATTTTTAATCTTAATTTTTCTTTCCGATTTAATAATGTAAATTTAGTAGACAAATGTTTTATATAAGTACTGTATTTTTTTAATGTGTTTGACTAAGAAATTGGCAAAAAAAAAAATTGTATTTATTTAGAAAAAGTTTTATCATGTACCTATTTTAAATTCAAACCTATTATAATATTTGAACTTTTACTTACATCAGTATTGCCTTTCTAATTACTGCAATGAGTTTAAAAATGTTTGCTTTATTATAATATAAGGAATAGAGTATATATAGCATGATAAATGGGTTATAAGTATTCAAATATTATTATTAAATTACATTCTCCTTATTATCTATTATAACTTTTACCTTTGATAGGAATACAATAAAAATGTTTGCTAATTTGTAAACATTTATCTTATTATTTGACAAAGGTTATAATTTCAATGAATTTACAATTAAATCAAAATATCAATACAAGTGAAATATTCTAGACCTGTATTCACACTGCTTGTAGTTTAAATAAATTGGAATATTATGTGTGTATAAATATATATATATTTGGTATGTGGCTCTCCTCTGATTAAGTTTTATGCTATTATTTTTTTTTTAAAAATAAATTAACTGTTAGATCGAAATTATTTAATTAAAATTAAAATTATAATTAAAATATTTAGTTTTTGTAATTATTATATGAACTCTTATTGAATTGTGTTTTTTTTATGAAATTACCAAATTATAAAACATATAAAATCAGACATTGTAACATGAATTTCAAGTATAAATTTGTTTATGAATTAGTTTAGAATCATAAGATTTAATAAAGTTTGTGAACTAATTAATTTTAAATTCTGAACTTGTTGATTTTATTAGGTGTGGGTTTTTTCTTTTTATACATAACATCCTTTCAAGGAATCGTTCTCCAATCTCTAATCATAGTGGTAGTTTCTGGTACCTGGTGAATATTGTATAGGTAATACATTGAGAGGTTATTTTTTGGACATCCATTTTCAATACAGTTCTTACTATTTCTGATTTTTCTCTCTTCGTGTCATGCTCAAACCATGCCAGTCTATTTTAACTCATATTGTATATTATTGAAACCATGACTAAGCTACCTCTTATGTATGAATTCTTTATCCAGTCATTATTTCACTTATCCATTTAAGCATTTTAATCTGTTCTATTTTTCTGTCAACTGCACAATAGTGAACCATAAAACATAGTTGGTCTCATCACATTCTTGCAGAACTCTACTTTAAGTCCCATTGGAATTTTATTGTCATATGAAACACCTGATGCTTCTCTTCACTTTATCCAACCACACTTAATCCTATGTTTCACTATAGTATATTACAATAGAAAACAGGTAAGGGCTCAAGGCTGATCACTGTTGAAAATATACTTTAATTCCAAAATATTTATTATTTCTAAACTTGTATTTGAACCTTCGTACATTTATTCAATCAAATTAATATACAATTCAGAACTTTTTTTTATTAACTATGTCAAAATCTTTATTGGTACTCTGTTATAAGCTTTCTCTCGGGATCATTCTCACAAACAAATGTTTTTGTTTATATGATTTTTAAATTGAGTTTATAATTAACTTTGATTGGTCGGCCATCTTACAAACTCCATTTAAAATTAAAAGTTTATTGGTGAAAATTACCCTTAAATATGAAAACCATGCATAGATTTTTTTTTTCTCATTGTAATTTTCTACAATCTGTTTTGCAAAAAACTGAATTCCATTGTAGATTCAACTGATATGAAACCAAACTGGTTTGTAGATACTGTTTAATTTCTAATTTTTTTTTTTCAATAATTTTTACCTATTTCTTTATACTTTAACTTATCAATTGTATTCCTATCTGATTTCCATACTCTTGATATCTCCCCTTTTAATATACGTATTATTAACCTTTTCCTCCACTCATCTGGTATTTTTCTTTCTACTAACATTTTAATTTAACAGTTAAAAACAAAAAGGTATTCTAATTAAAAATAGCCTGTAAAATTATATTATCACTTGATTATTTGTTGTAATAATAATACCATATTTTCTAAATACAGGAAATGTTTGATTCTCGTGTAGCAAAATTATAATATTATTCAACTTGATGATGATCCAAAATGATGATTATATTCTCTAAATTATTTGATACTATTTTTATAATACACTATTAACAGGCTTTAGGCGTTAAACAAAATATACAAAGATAGATATTTGCAAGAATTTGATTACTACAGAATAAAACTTCAAATAGTTTTATAATATTATCAAAATTAATGCATTAAATCATTATAGTATATGGTTAATAATTAAATATTTAAACTCTTTTTAGGAGGGAGGCTTTCAGTAATAACATTGTGCCCACATTGATTAAATATATTTGAGTCGGTATACTTGGTAACACATATCATGTCATATTGCAATGTACAAAATCAAATTTGAATAATGCTCATGTATAAATTTATTATTTTTAAAAAATGTATCTAGGGTTTTTACATCAATATAAAAACAATACATATATTGAATAAAAAAAAAAAAACAACTTTTTGATTTAAAATGCCTTAACACTAATAATGTTTATTTTAATTAATGCAATATGTTTAAAATGCTAAGAGACAGAATTATTATAGTTTACATAGGTAACAAATAGTTACGAATTCTTCTAAAACAAATATTTTAGTGGAATTTGGTCTTTAAGGCTATCTAACAGATAAGAAGTAGGTATAAAATATTTTAACAACTTAATATAATAATAACAATATTTACAAAGTGATGTGTTTGTATGTACACAACATAGGTAGTTGATTATGTGATTATTTGAAACAATTCAGTCTTCATTTTTTCTTGTATCCGTCATGATCGTGGGAATCATGGTGTTCTTCGTGGTGATGGTGGTGTTCCTCTATCGGGAACCATTCAGATATCCACACGGGCTTCCAAATCTTCTTCCACGCTGGCAGCCAAATTTCTTTCCAGTCTGGGATCCATATTTGTTTCCAATCTTCTTTCCATTCTAATTTCTTGTCCGGAATCCAGATTTCTTGTTTTTCTGTTTTCCATTCTTGTTTCCAATCTTCCTTCCATTCGAGTTTCTTGTCTTGGACCCATATCTGTTTCTTTTCGGTACGCCAGACTTGTTTCCAGTCTTCCTTCCATTCCAATTTCTTGTCCTTTACCCAGATTTGTTTCTTCGCTGGTTTCCAGATCTGTACCCAGTCTTCTTTCCATTCAAGTTTTTTCGAAGGTACCCAAATTTGCTTTTTCACTGTTTTCCATACTTTTTTCCAGTGCACCTTCCATACGACTTTCTTTTTCCATAGGTCATGCGCTTCGTATTCCCATCCATGGTAATCTTTTCCTAGATGTTTTGATCCAGGTACGTACGCTTTCACTAACTCTGGTACATGAATCTTATGCCAGTCTGGCACATGTTCTTCTTTCCACGCTGGCACTTCAATTTGTTTCCATACTGGCTTGTATATTTTCTTCCAGTCAGGTACTTGTACATCTTTCCAGGCTGGCACATCAATGGATACCCATACTGGCTTGTATATTTTCTTCCAATCCGGAACTTGTACCTCCTTCCATGCTGGTACTGAAATCGGTACCCATATCGGTTTGTATATTTTTTTCCAAACTGGAACGTGCACTTCTTTCCATCCCTGTTTCTTTGTCGGTACCCATATTGGCTTGTAGATTTTTTTCCATGACGGCTTCCAAATTTGTTTTTTACCTGGCTTCCACGTTTTTACCCAGTCCGGCTTCCAGATGAGTTTCTTCTTCCAGTAGCCTTTCAATTTTTCATGGTGGTGCTCGTGATGGTCATGAATATCATGGTGGTCATGATGTTCGTCGCCGCCATAACTAATATCTGGCACTCCAATACGAGATTGTGCGACTGCCGGTTGCCTGTATAACATAAATATTCATGTCATGTTATACCATATTATATTAAACTCGTTAATAACTATGGAATGCCATATAAACGTGTACACCTATATATACATGCCATAGTCGTGATTATTAAATACGGTATATTATAACCAATTGTCGTCTCTATACAAATTTTATTCTTTCATGAAAATCAAGAAGTCGTTTCAAAACATCTATTCTAACGTGTATTCAAACGTGTTTTATTCTGCAATAGATTTTCTGCGTTTGGTTTCCTATTATTTGTTTGAATGTTATGACAATTTGGCGCCACGTAAACATATAAGTATACATTGTCTGTTTATTGTGATCGTTTTGACATTGAAAGTCTTGTATAGGTATAGTTAGGTACCCCGATTTTTCACAGTTTTCTCTATAGGTACCGCATAATTTATTCAGCAAACAATATTATAACAACAATAGAACAAGTAATTCAATTTAAAAAGGGGATTGCAAGAATACATACATCAGTTTCATTCAAATTTCTCCCGAGTAAAATGATTGAGGGTCGTTATCGTTTTATCGTGTTTATTATTGAATGTTGTTAGTTTCGGGACGGAATAGCTATCTTGAGGTATCGTAATACCTAGGTAACTACGTATTCCTATGTGAATGTTCAACGCGTAAATAACCGTATAAATATATGCACGTTTAATAAGAACTCCAGATCGGCGGAATAAGTACTAATAAATAATAATGATTGTACGAGATTATATTGGGGACAAGTATTTACGGTAACGAGAAAGATTCGACGAATATCGTTAAATTCGAATAAAAATAAAACTTTGTTGAAAGTAGAAAATCATCTTCTACATGCCCGTTCTCGCGAAGAATATAATACCTAATATAGTATCGTCGTAACACCTATGAAAGAATCAAATATCGATTAAAAAAAAAAAAAAAAAAAAGAAGAAGAGAAAAAACAAAAACCGGAAAGAATATTTTTATGCTTACCTACCGGTATAGCTATTAAAATCGGATGTTTATTACTTTTCCGGAAATGTCGAGTCGGATTAAAAACGCGTTATCCGTAATAATATTATACAGGCAGGCGGAGTATCTGTTTTTGCGTACATATTTTGTTAAATTATTGGTTAAGTAGGTATTCGAAACTATAAAAGATAACGTTTTGATATAATTCGCGCGTCAACGCGCACCACGACGATGGCATTTGGAGTTATTTTCCAATGGAATGATAGGTATACTCACTGCAGACCGGTTTGTTCGTAATTGCTTAGCGACTTCTTTTCGCGTTTGTTAGACGACCCGTCGTCCGCGGGGAAGGACACTTGCTTTTGTGGCAAATCGACCGCCTTTGACCAAACGAGGGTGACATTGACGAACAGCGCCAGAAACACCTGCATGCGAGAATACAAACATCACTGATTAATGTTCAATAATAACAATAACAATAATACGATGCGCGCGACGTGTGTTTTTTTTTTTTTTTTTACCACTTTCACTGTTTGTACAATACAATATCTTATAATAGTATAAACACACATATACTCGTATGTATATATGTATATAGTCCGTTTATGTCGACAACGATGGGGAAAAATAGCTATAGCTATAGGTTGGTAATAATGGGTATAAGACACAATGTAATATAATATACAAACGGCGCTGTTGACGCCGAAACTATATAATATTACGCGGTCGGGAGGCCGCGGAGTCGGTTTTTTAATATCCGGAAATCACGACTAAAAGTTGAACTCGACTTTCACTCGCGCGTTACAAAACTCGCGCGGGCGCCGCGGATCTATTTCGTATTCCCCCCCCCCCCCCNCCCCGCCGCCGCGTGCGTAATAAACGAGTCCGAGCCGATACCGCAGTAGGTGTACGAGAATAATCGGCCACTCGTATTGCCCGTATTATTGTTCAGAAAAAATTTCTCGAAACACGTTTATATCGAAATTTGAAAAAAAAAAATAATAACAAATAAAGACCATTTTGAACGATTTGGTTACGTTGACACGACGGGTAAACGGACGAATAATTGGCGGACGATCGGGCAGGCGTTGAAAATACGGTCCGATATCGTCAATTGTACAGCGACGCGATCACACGCCCGGCCGAACGAAACCAGTGTTTATAAAACGAGCGTAGTTTTTTTTTTTTTTCGACACTTTTTATGGCGTTTTTCGCTTTTTCCGGTGTTCCGACAACGTGTGTGCTACTATCGTTCCGACACCGCGCAAAGTATCGCTCGTTTACCTGCGCCCCGTTGTTTTTACGCGATCTCGGCGACGATGCGTTCGTTGATCGTTGTAACGTGTACCTATGCCCGTCGCACACGGTCGGCCGTGTCATTGACAGAAAATCGGTGGAAAAAAAAAAAAAAAATGAAACAAAACCGTCGGGAAAAACGGCCGCGCGTAAACGGGGTCGGCGCGCCTATAATAATGTCTCGGGCGATTCCGCGTGTGCACGGCCGCGACACGGGAGACTTTAACGATCGGATTGTTCGGGAAAATAATTTTGTACTCAATACACGCGATGGGTAATGGGGGGAAAAAAAAAAAATAATATAAAATAACGCGTGTGCCCGGCGGGTATTGCGGGCGAGAACACGCGAGCGAAATGCCGTTACCGGACGATTTATAACAGCGTAATTACGCGGCCATACGGTGTTGATTTAGCGCATTGTTATTTCTGTTTTTCCGGTTCCGACCGCGCGTTCCTCGCGTGCGTTTATGCACCGCGGCGGGCATCTCGGCGGACGGAAGACATCGTAAACGGAACGGCGAACGGAGAGCGAGAGAGAGAGAGAGAGAGAGAGATATGGAGAGAGATGAGAAAAAACAAAACGGGATGTAGCATGACGTCGTATACCTGTACTGCGTGCACACGTGTTGGTTCGCGGACGAAATTGCAATTCAAAGTAGGTATCCGGAACTCGGTTTTCATTTGTCATTGTATACGTGTATGTTATACGCGCGTGCGCGCCGACGGAGGAAACCAGTCGGCCTGACCTTAAAAATCACGAGCAGCGCCGGTGCCACGCGGGATCCGCGGCGAAAAAAACGACGTTGAATCGCGACACGGCGAGCCCGGATTGTTGTTGTCATGATATTGTCTTTGCCCATCGGCGCGCGCGTATAATAACAACCGACACCGGCCGTGCTTGTCCCGCGCGGTTTCGTCACGTATCGCGTTTCGTGATCCGCCGCGACCGTAACCGTCGCCGGGGTCGCAACAACAGCGCGGGCCGAGTGTCGCGAAAACGGATTTCCCGCCGCTGCCGTCGGTTCGAACCGGAAAAACCGAAAGAAGGACAGATAGAGAGAGCGAGAGAGAGGAAAAAAAAACGCTCCTCCTCTCGGACGCGAAAACAAACGCCGTCGCGATGTCGTTGTACGAGCGGACCGCGGGCGGTACGCGTTCCGCGCAACGCTCCGAAAATCCTCCGCGGGGCGCGCCGGGAGACGATACAACGGTTATAATTACGATTATAACGCTACGTCCTACCGGTGAGGGGGGAGGGGTGACGGTTATCGGGGTACGCGTCGGGAGTGGAGTGACCGGGCGCGCGTTGTACAGTGGCGATACAGGGCCGAGGACGGCCTTTTTTTTTGGGGGGAGGGGGGAGAGTGAAAATGTCGCGAAACAATTGTCGATACGAAACCGGGGGCGAACGCGTCGAGACGAGCCGACGCGATCGTGCTAAAAAGTGCATATTGCAGTACAACGGTGTGCAGTGTACGTCGTAACCGAATAGCGCGCGTCGTTAAAGTTGTGAGAAAAAAAGAGTAAAGTGTGAGTGTGAGTAGTTTGTAATGAGCGTGCGGTGTATTGGTTTTTTTGTTTCCCCACATCCCACCCCCGCTCAATAATTCTTCCAAGCAGTTACACATATACGTAATAATAATAATAATGTTAATATTGTAATCATACGATACCGGAAATTGTTTTATTTAAATACAAATAAAAACAACAGTACGCGGTCCTGCGCCGAGTCCGCGAGACGATTGTTGTTTCTGTACACTTCAGCTATGTATGGCGGGTACACGGTTTAAATAAAGTTGTAAAAAAAAAAAAAAAAAAAAAAAACAAAACAAAACAGTTTTTACGGTTGTAAGTAATAGTATACGAGTGAGTTCAAGTAAGTTGATAACAGTGTAATGGTATATGGTGAGGCGAATTAATGGTAATTTAAATAATGCCAATAACCGTTCGGTTTAATCACTGCGGCGCGGCGTTGTTATTCGCTTGCGAGTACTCGCCGTTGCGTTACATGCGAGAACATAAAAAAATAAAAATTCTAAACATGCCAAAAAAAAATTTGTATTTTTTATTTTTAAACACGACGATAAAAATCGATAAGAAAAAAAAAAATTAAAAGCGAAAAAAATCGATACGTTAGTTGTAGTATTAGAAAAATCAAAATATAATTAAAAAAAAAAAAAAAACATTAGTAAAAAATCTGAGCTTATTATGTGCGTTTAATATTATTATTATTTTTTTTATTTAATTTTTACTAACCACTAGTTGGTGGCGATCCATAACGGTTTTTTTTTTTTTTTTGTGCGTGCAATGCGTATGTATGTGTGTGCGTGTACTCTTCTCGACGGTGTCTGCGATGTCTGCAAGTCCGTGGCCGAATGACATACCGTAACCGCGGTCCGGCGGGTTTTATATACCGGCCGGGCCCCCGTCGCCGGGGCAAGGCCGTTCGTCCTCCCCCGAAATATTGATAAGGAAAGGAGGAAGATAAAAAAAGGGAAAAAGAACCGCGCGCGCGCGTTTACTTTCTTCGCGCCGCCGCGGTCGCGGAAGCCGAACGACTTTCACGGCGACGGCCGCCCGACCGTCGGGCTCAGTTCTTCGCGAACGCCGTACGAAAAAAAAAACGCCTAACCCGACCGCCGCGTTCGCGAAAACCGGCGCGCGGCCGGCCCGTTACCGTAAACAATATTATTGTCGTCGTCGGGTAACGCCGCGGTGACCGGTCCGCGGCGGCCGGGGCGCACGTGGTGGCGGCGCGCGCGTCGACCGCCGCCGGTTCCCCGCGGCACTTCGGGTTTTTTCCCGTTTTTCTCCGCGTCAGTCCGTTCGTGAGCGCCGCGGCGGCACAGGGCGGTACGCGACGCCCGTCCGTGACCGCCGTCCGCGCAAGTCCGAGACGCAATCGCAAACGATGTTTCGTTCGACGGCGGCGTACCCGGCTGATAATATTGTCGCGCGACCCTCGCAAACATTTATGACGAACAGTTTTTTTTTTTTCGATTTTTCCGTAGCGGGTCAGATGGGCTGTGACTGTAACACACTGCGCGGGCCGTGTACACCGTGCGTTCGCGGCACCGTATATTTGAGTATTGCGAACATTTTTTTTTTTTTTTCCTTCTGTTTTTCGTAAATTTTATTGTCGGCCGCACGCGCGGCAAACACCGGCGATGCACCGCATGTTCGCTGCGGCTTTCCGCGGGTCTTGCTCGCGGCGAGTCTCGTCGGAACCCGAACGTACCCGCGGTCCGTCTTTCCGAACGCGCCGGGACGCGGCGGACCGACGGGACCGGTCTCGCGCCGTCGGTTTCGACGTTTCAAAACCAATCGGCCCGGCATCGGAGGCGTGGGCACCGCGGTCTCGAGCGACGCGCGTCCGATAAATGCCCGGAAAATCGGCGGACGCCGACGGTTGTTTCGCGCCTTCGAGTCCCGGACGCCGGGGCCGGCGCGTCGCTCCGATCGCACACCAATGACGCGTGCGATTGTTTCGCACGCACGGGTGGCGAAAACCGCCGCGCCGCAACTGTAGCTCTGCAAAATTCCGTAACGGCCCGCGTACGGTACAGATCGCGCGCGAAACCGACGAACAAAACCCGGTGACCGGTCGGCCGCTTTAGGGATCAAACGCGCAGCTACATTATTGCCGTACGCGCGTATTGTCCGCGGCGTTTTGTTCGGTTCGCGGCGGCTTTTGTCGGCGTTTTACGGTGTTGTATTTTTCGAAATATTCTACTCGTCGGTAAAGGTAACAACAGAGTCTTTTTAAACTTTCATAAACGACGGCCGGCCGGCCCTTCCGAACGCGCCGTTATGAGGGGAGGACGCGTTGCGCCCGCGTCTGCTGTCCCAGCCCGACCGCCGGCCGGTGACATGCGAAAACCGACGCATACGCAGTATAAGTAAAACTAGCTTAATTTCGGTTTTAGGCTAAAAGTACGTGTTACGAAATTTACGGAGAACAGATATTTCGTAGGGAATATAGAGGTGTTTTTTGAATTGTGAACTAATTTGAATAGTTACAGCAGTTATTTAAAAAGTAAAAAATAAAGGTTTTTTTTTATCTTTTATGTCGAGCTGTGTATTACGAACAATACGAAAACCCTGTGATATCCCTCCCCTCCTCAAAAAAAAAGAAAAGAAAAATAACATCGTTCTCTATACGTTTCGCAATAAGTACTTTTACTCTAAAATCAAAATCGAGCTAGTTTTACTTATTCTGCGTAAGCGTTGATGTTGCGTGCTACCCGGCAGTTGGACTGAGACAGTAGATGCGGGCTGTTAAAGTTGTTTCCACCACGTTGTCGAATAACATATTTTGTAGAGTTTTATTTCTAAAATCGATTTTAAAGACGTTTTTCCGTTTGTTTTTGCTATATTGCCTGTAAGAATGACAAAACCGGCCGATATCACTGTGGCAGCGTGTGAACAATTCACTATTTTTTTTTTTTTAAATTTTAGCCATAGAAATAACAACGCATTGTTAAATTATTCACAAATTGATGAGTCGTTTGAATAAAAACGGCCGATTTTCACCAGTTTCGTCAAGTGTTTGTTTTATCGGAGTATTTGGTGTTCATACTTATTGTTTCATAATGGTATTGTTATTATTATTTTTTTAGCAGTGCCGTTTTGAAAACTATAAAGTTTTAGGTTTGGATTCCGAATGTAAAACAAAGGTGTGCTTTTACTATCAAATTACTGCTGTCATTTTTACGATAATTTCCTACTAGAAATCTTTTTCCAATCGAAAAATGTAAAAGAATTTTTTTGTAACATTTTTGTTCTAGTTGATGCATTGTCATGTTTTTTTTTTTTTCTGTTTTCCATACAATTTTCTTAACGAGTGGGAAAAACTGTCAATATTCTCGATTTTTTATAGTCGGGTTTTGTTATTTATCTATTCCCTGTTATAAAAAAAAAAACAGGTAGGTATATGCTGAATTTTAAAAATGACCGCCAAAACATGCACTAATTATAAATTAGAATCTCGGAATAAAAAAAAATGATAGTAATTAAAAAAAAATTCAACATCCGGGCTCTGGTTATTTTACGTTTTGAGGATTTGAAAATTCCCCGGAAATTCGTATCATTGTGGGTACGTCTACTCTTTTCCATAATTATAAATAACAAACAAAGTATTATGTATTATATGTGTACGTATAATTTTTTAGCCAAACATAATTAGGTAAGTATTTAATGGCGTTTCCTGACATCGTGGAACATACGCGCATTAAAAATTACGCAATTTTACGTTTAGTTCCAATATCGGCGTGTGTTTACGAATGCATATTATTATTGTTAGGTAGGTACCCATTATTTTATTAATTATTAGCCACGAAAATAAGGATTTCAGCGGTTGTTCGGATGACCCGAATGCACTGCACAAAAATTACATCCTTTACCGTACGGACGTTTTCCGTGATACGTAAAATTCATTATTTTTTTTATCGCCGTTCGTTAACGTTAATTATTTCCGTTTAAAAATATACAATTTATGTTATTCTATTTTATTAAAACGCTTGAAAATAACTAGTTGCTCGTACATAATACGGTAGGTGTTTTTTTTTTTTTTTTTTATGAAAACCGGTTAGAAATCAATTTTTAAGACAAATAATAACTATTCAAACACTTCGCATTACAGTGCTTGTACAGTGTACGCTTACCGGGTACCCGTATAATATGCGCACAGTGTTAACAATAAACCACTGAAAACGAGCGAAAGCATATACACCGATGTAGTTTAATTAAATTAAATTAATACGGAATATGTAACCGTAGATATATATATATATATATATAATATTATATAATACAGTTTATATTTTATTCAACTACTTAAAAAAAAAAAAACAGTATTAGGTAGGTATGTATGTAGTTATGTGTATCAATAGTGCAGTTTTTAACGTAATACCTAAATTCGAACGATCAGATAAAATCAGATCAGATAGTCGAGGTGATCGAGATCATTATATTACGACCAACGAAAATGCGAACGGGGAAGAAAATAAAAAAAAAAAAAAAAAAAACATCTACTCTATATAATATTATTATTATTATGCGTAAAAGGTGTTTTGAAATCAAATAAACATTCTTTTTAATGTTATATACATCGGCTGCATCGATATAATGTACAAGATATTTTTCACACGTACATCCGTATT